GCGCGCTTGGCAGTTGCATGCACGGTGGCCCCAGATGGCTGCTGGGCGCCAGGGCGCACCCGGCGGGGCGAAATTTTCTGCGCGGCGCCGTGCGGCCTCCAGAAGTAGCTGCCCCCAGGGGATAGCCGCGCTGTCGTCGCCTGCTGCGGCGCGGCCTGCCAGGTGCCACAGGACAGCCCGCGCGGCCGCGAACGCGCAGTTGGTCGCGCCAAGCCCATGCTCCAGATCGCACGGGAAGCCGTCGCGGTTGAATAGCTCCTGGCGGCGTTCGGCAAGGTCGACTGAAGCGCCACCAGGGCCGCTCGCGCGGGCGGGGACGCATTACGCGGCAGCAAAAACGGCGCCCGGGCTGGGCCCATCAGCAGCCCGGCACCGGCCATCTGAAAGCCCTCAGCCAGGCGGCCTCGATTGCAGTAGTCTTCGGGCAGCTGGGAGTCGACCAGGGCGGAAAACGAAAGCCCCCCTCGGTTTCGTATTTTCGCGAGCTTCTTTTTCCTATGGCCTTCCGCTCCTTGTCCAACCCGAGTCTCGGCACCCCTCGCCGCGGCCTCGTCGCTCGCGAACTCACCCGGGCAGGAATCGGGCAAAATGGTTGCATCCTCTGTGAAGGCGCGCTGGTTTCCGAATGAGACCGGGCTGTTAAGCGGGAGCCACACCCCGGTTTCAAGGCCCCAGCGCGCCAAGACATTCAAACGGGACTCGGAGGCGGCATCGAACATCTTTGCCGTCGCCAAAGACGAAGCCCGCCTGGCTTCTGCAGCAGTCACGTTGATCCGGAGGCGGTCGCCCACACACCCCAGGCGAGACTGCTGTCGGCCTGGGCGGTCGCGAGGATGACCAGGTCCGCCTGGCCCCCGCAGCTGGAATCGATCGCGTCGATGCCGATTAACTCTTCCTGGAACAGCCCCGGGCAGCGCTCCCCCAGCGCAGGGAAGCGGAGCGCACGGCCGTTCGAGCGGGCCGGGCTTCGCCTGAAGACGGGGCGATGGTCAGAGTTTCCCTTGCCCTTGCCGCCAGGGCCAGGGGTCCAGGAGCAGCGCGATGGGGCACCTGTCGAGAACGGTCCTCTCCCACGGAATCCAGCAGGGCGGGGCCCAGTGAACTCCCACGCGGCTTGGCAGACTCCTGTCTGCCCCCGCGGCTCGCAGGCCGAATGGCGGCGGATAGCGACCACCCTTCCAGCACGAGGGGGAGCATCATTCTGCGCCCGCACAGCAACACGACCGTTCACTAGTCAAGCAGTAGGTCTGCCTCGCACACCGCCACCGGGTCGCAGATGGCAGCAGCCTCCCGGATGCGGCCGTAGCCCTCAGCGCGAGTCGAGGTGACTTCGCAGGAGTCGTCGTGGACTCAAACGCCGATGCGACCCCCACGCCACGCCCCGTGGCTTGGGTTGCGAAAGCAGCAAAAACCAGCGGGAATTCCGTCGCGCGGCCCGCGCGCGATCTTCCAGGCGGCCCCCATCTCACGGGCAAAAATTAGCGGGGCTTTCCGCCACGGGATCCCCTGAATCAGGGGCCGGCCGTCGATCGGGTCTGCAAGGCCAGAGAGCAGCTTCCCTTCGAAGAAGGAATGCGCCGTCCACTGCAGGACGCAGGGGCGCATGCGGCAGCACACTGCCAGGACGGCGTTGAACACGTCAATGGGGGCCAAGAGAATCATGGAAGCGCTGCGTGACCGAGATGGACAGCCCCATGGCGGCCGCACGCTCCCAAACGTCCGCGGGGCCCGGCGACATCTCATTCCTGACGGCCACGGCCCGACCTCCCGCCGTGGCCTGGAGCGCCAGGGAGATGATGGGCATGGCTTCGGTCGACTGGCCCGCCTCCTCGATGATGCCCCTCGAGATGTTGGGACAGCGCTTGGCGCCCAGGACAGCTGCGAGCTGGCGAGTTGCGAGGATGGGCCTGGCCTCTCCTGTTGAAGGGGCTTCGGGCCGCACCGTGGCCCGAAGGCGCGATAGGGGTAGAAGCCGATGGCTGCCTCAAGCTTCTTCGCCAGGGCGGGGCCGGCAGCCTCGAAGCGAATGGTTTTCTCTTCTCACGCCAGGTCAACCGCCGAGTCGGGCGAGCCGGCGGCGGGGTGGAGGCGTCCAGCTCTTCGGGCCTCGTCCACGCACCTGGCAAGCACGTCTGCTGTGTTGTTGGACCTGGCAATCAGGCCGACAGCCCACCCAGGGGGCGCACACGGCACCCGCACGTCCGCGGCAGAAGGGATGGCTTTGGACTTGCCAGTGCCCAGCGGCCCGCGTACTAGGAGAACCACTGCTTGGAGCGACTGGGCAAATACCAGGGGTTGCGAGTTGTTCAGCCCACGCCTCAGGGCCACTGCCGTCACGCCGTGCAGCATTGGAGCGGGGTGGACCCTCTGGAAAACCTGGCTGGGACAAGCGCCTAACTGATCGTCCGAGGGGCCAGCGGTGGGCGTGTCAGGCATGCTTGGGTCGTCGGGGTCGGGCATCGCCAGGGACATCGTGGCGGAGGCCTGCTGCTGGATGGCAGCGCCATCCTGGGCCAGCTGGGTTACCGAGTTGGCGACCGCCTTGTCTGCGACGTCAGCAGACCGAAAGGAGAGCACGTAGGTGATCACCGCCACGGATGCGCCCCGCAGTGCGATCGCGGCAGATTGAAGCAGGAACACGTCTTGACTGGCTGCCCCGACTCTGTTCAGCTGCTTCTGCGACGGGGCGTGGTCGACCCAGTACCAGGGATCGTGGGGACCCTTGGGTCTGGTAGCGGTCGTTGTGTCTGGGTGAAACGTACCCCGTCTTGCATCGAAACTGGCTATGAGGAGCCCCGTAGGGTATCTCCACAGCTGGTGATCTGGCATTGGTCCGCCAGGTGCTGGCGGCATTGGTCCGCCAGGTGCTGGCGATTATGTGAGCTGTGACCAGAGACCTGTGGGATACGTAGATGGGAGCATCCCCTTCCTCCTCCTTGGGACAGTCCAAGTGGCAATCACCTCTCCAGGAGAGCCAGGAGAGGATGTAGTATTCCCAGGTTCATGGCTTGTGGTTGCTCCGCCAGTTCTGCAACCCAAATTCGTTGGCGATGCGGTGTGGCCGCGGAAGGTGGTACCTTTGCACTGCAACATCCTGGGCACACGTCCGGGGTCTACGGAACTCCGAGCGCATCCCTGCTTTGCCGTCGTCGTCCAATGGCTCGAGTCGGCCTCGTTGTTCCGTCTGGAAAACCTGGAGGAGCCGTTTGCTTTTGTCTTGAACGATCTTCGGCCATCGCTCTGGGAGAAACACGGCACCTGGGATTGGGCCCATCGGACGCCTAACTACATTCCGCCGCAACCTGTGCCATAACTTGGCGAAGAGCCTCTGGACGAACGCGGCTGCCGCACTGGCTGGTGGTTATTCCGTGAAGCCGGCCTTGTCCAGGCCGGCTTCGCTCTCCGTGTCCCCGGGTAAGTCGGCCCTGTCGGGGTCCGTGCTGGCTGCCGTTCGCCGACGGGTTGCGGAGCTGTCCGGCGCTCTGGGCACCGTCGGCGCGTCGGGCGCCGGCGGCGGGGGGTTCCGGGCCGCCGCCGTGCAAAAGTTGGCGCCCGGCGGCGCGGCCCGCGCGAGGGCTGCGCGGGCAGCGGCGAGCCCGGCGTCGGACTGGCTCGGGTGCATGGTGTCCTGGGAGCTCCTGGATAGCCTCATGGCTCTAGAAGACATGGCAGGGAGAGGAGTGGGAAGTCATAGAGGTATGGACCTGAGGCACCCCGTGTGGTGCCAGAAAGAATGGCAGGGGGAGGAATGGGAAAAAAGGTAGAGATAGACCGAATGCCTGTGTGGGAAGAAAATTCGGCCTCTGGGCTTCAGGCGTCCAGAGTCGAGAGCGGAGGGCTGACAGCAGAGAAGGTAGATAGCAAAGAGAGTATAGAGAGGCGAGAGAGCAGAGAGGTCAGAGCACTGGGGACTAGCAGAGAACAGTGGAGACTTATGAAGGCCAGCCGGGGGTAAGAGAGAGTAGCAGAGGCTAGAAGGGAAGAGTAGAAAGCGGAAGAGAACTGAGGGGAGTAGTAAGTAACCACCTCCGCTCCTTTCTCCCACAGCTCCCTTCCCCCCTCCTCTCCTCCCCTCCCCCGCTCCACTCCCCCTCTCTTCCGAGGCCCACTGCCCGGGGCCTGGACTCCGGCGGGGGCGCGGCATGGGCACTTGCGAATCGAGCTTCTGCCGAGGCTCAAATGCCACGTGGGCCAACTCAGCCAAACGGCCGGAACACCCGGGTCACCTGGGCAGCATGGTCGGATGTCTCACCTGGTGGGTGCGAAGGACCGTGTCCCACATGAATGGCCGTATGACGAAAGCGAGCTTGCAATCGAAAGTGGCTCCAGAGAACGCATGTAGCGTCAAGCGGAGTGGGGCGGGCGGCGGGCTGTGCACAAAAGGTGGCATTAGAACATGCCCACCCAAATTAGGTCGGGCTGCTGAGAAGTCAGGGATGACATAGCCAGCTGCTGCCGCTGCTGCTGTCCCTCCTGCTGCTGCTGATGTTCCCCTATGTTGTGAGCGGTCCAACTGGCCGCGCTTTCAATATCGATGCCCCTGTTAATGCTTGAAAATGCTGCCGCCCTTGCCGCCGTCGCCGTCGTCGTGGCCGTCCCCACTGCCTCCCCCGACGACTGCTCGTGCAGCTCGCTGTACAGCAGCCGCTGCCCGCTCTGCCGCGGGCGCGAGGTGCCGCGGCCAGGGAACAGAGCGGTCAGACCACGCCCCCCCCGCTACCGGAAGAAAACACGCCCGCCCCGCCGGGTGCGAGGTGCCGCGGCCAGGGGACAGAGTGGTCAGACCCCGCCCCCCCCGCTCCCGTAGGTGACTACCTACCAGACCACCCCAACCCAACCCGAAGACCCGAATTTCGGGTTGGGGGGGGTACGGGTTCCACATGTGTTTTCTCGATGTTCCCCGACCCCCCCCCCAACTGGAAATGGAGGGCAAATGAAGACCTTCGGGTTGGGTTGGGGTGGTTTGGTGGGTGGTGAGTAGGAGGACCCGCCCGCCCCGCCCATGAGCATCGCCATCGGCGGCCCGTCGTCGACGGGAGCCTGCCGCGCCGCGGCGTCGCCTGCTCTCCAGGGGAAGCACAGAGCACGCGGGGGGGGGAGAGAGAGGGGAGGGGCGGCGGCACGCCCAGTCCCGCCCCGCGGGAGGACCGGGAGACGGCAGAGGGCCAGACCTGCAGCCTCACGGGCCCCACCAGAAGCGCAGGATTGCAAAAAAAACCGGATTGCAAAAAACGAAGGATTGCAAAAAAAAAAAACGAAGGATTGCAAAAAACGAAGGATTGCAAAAAACGAAGGGTTTTTTTGCAATCCTTCGGTTTTTTTGCAATCCTTCGGGCATCCTGCCACACGATGCAGTCTTGCCCGGTTCCTGCTGCCCCCGCTCGGATCTGACGTGCTGTTCCCGTGCTCTGGTCCTATAAGATGGCCGTGGCGTCGGCCATCTCTGGTTCCCTGCCGTGGTCTGAGATGTTCCGACCCAACGCGTTCTGGTCCGAACAAGTGGCCCAGTCAAGGCTGTTCTGGATCAGTTCGGTTTCGCATATTTGGCCTGCCTGGAACTGTCACGTATGTTATAGCGCCCGAGGTGTACCGTCTAACGTGTACAACAGAAAGTCTGCGTCATATGTTGAGTGCCCAGGCTGGTATTGAATGTATTCGTATACCCTGGCCCACACCGACAATTGTTGCGCCGTGTGTTCTGCTCTGCTGCGTAACCCACCATCGCGCTTGCTCACGAATGTGCGCCAAGTGTGTTTTTTGGTCTCTTTTTTGTGGCTCTCCGAGCCCTGCCTCTACTCCGACACGTCCACCGTCCGAGAATCCCCCCCCCCCCCAGGGTTCCTCTCCTGGCGCACTCCACGGCCTTCAAACGAATCCGAAACGGCCCAAAACCGCCCCAAGACGGCTGCAGGACGCCCGAAAACCAGCCCAGCAGCCCCCCAAAGGGTCCCCAAGAGGTCCCCCACAGGCCTAAAGATGCACCAAGCCGCCCCCATGAGGCGCTCACCCGCAAGGGCCTGGGAGGCAAAAAACACGAAAAGCCAGTGGGAGCTGAAAAACCAATGTCAAGTTTCAGATGCGTCTTTGCCATTACTTACCTACCAGACCACCCCAAACCAACCCGACGTCTCACATTTCGGGTTGAAGGGCGTGCGGCTTCCATCTTTGTTTGTTCAATATTCCGGGACGCCCCCAATTGGGAATGGGGAGCAATTTGGGGGGACCTTCGGGTTGGGTTAGGAATGGTTTGATGGACCTTGGGGTTCAGCGAGCCCCAAGAAGCGCCGTAGACGGCCCAAGACATTCCCAAGAGGGCCTCCAGAACGTCCCAAGACGGCATGAGAATCCGTCCAGACCTTTCAAGAGCGCTCAAAAACGGCCGTCAAACCTTGAACACGCCCCCGCAATGCTGCGAGCAAGCCTCTTCGGGAGTGCCCGGTAGAACCTTCGCGCCCCAAAAAACGGCGCCGAGAACCCCGACGGGGCGCCAACGGGGCCCCAAACGGGCCTCCAACGGGTCCCAAAAAGGTCCCAAGAGGCCCCAGAAAGGCCTGAAAAAGCTTACGAGAAGCCTGAGATATGAATAGAAGAAAACACACACACACACACACCATAAACACAAACGTTTGGCGCTCCGCTCAGACTTTCTGGACCTGCGCTGGACCACCCCCACCCGGCGCGCTCCGCGCGCCGGGGGCAGCGCTGGAGACGCCGCCGCGGGGCCCAGCGCGAATCCAAGAAATCCACGCACAGCGCCAAAAATTGGTGAATCGCCTTTTTTTCTTCTTCGAAAGAACAAAGCTGCGGACAAAGAAAGGAGCGTTGAAGACCCGCGGCAGCTCAAACAGAACCCTGGGCTGGAACGCGTCTTGGACTCCATCCCCGTCCTGCTCCGTCGCTGCGTTGGCGCGGCGGCGGAGCTCGGCTCGGCGCAGGCAGCTAGATACTCGGTGATATGATGGCCCGTTTGTGTAGACAGAGGTAGGGAGCCGAAAGGCCTAACCGTCCGTGCGAAGGAGATCCGTAGGTAGAGGAAGGATGACGGCGATGGAAGGTTTTATGCATCGACACTGCACAGTCCTGTATCTCTGGAAGAGATTCAAGACATCCAGTACCTGAGCCGATAGAGGCAGCGGTAGAGGAAGGAGAAGGAATCCACACACGGCTTGGGGGCGCCGGGCTGTGAAATCACTGCCCTCGGGCCCTGCAGGCCCCCGGGAGCTCTCTCGAGGCCCACGCCGGCTCTCTTGAGAGCCTCGCGGGCCGCCTTGGTGGCCCCGGAGGCTGGCCCGGGATGCCAAAATCGGCCAAACATCTTGGGCTTCTGTGTGACCTCAACGCTTGCGCCGCATGGGTCGCAAGAGCGTCCAAGGCGGCCCAACAACCTCCCAAGACCAGCCCAAGGTGACGGCCCAAAGGGGAGCCCAAAAAAGCACGCCATTGCCGCACCGCTGGACTCCAGCCCTGCCAACATGATCCCAAGATCCCGAGACGCACCCAATTGGGTAACAAAGCCCCCCAAGATCCTCCCAAAATCCTCCAAGGCCCCTGGAACACGACCAAGGCGCAATGGCGGCATGGGCCGGAGACCGTTAGATCTTCGCCCTCGCATTAAAGCCGCTACTGGCATTCCCGTCCCCCTTCCGCCTCTTGCGCCCAAGCTGATCACTTCTCAGGGTCACGGAAATAGCCGCAAGCCCTCTGCAACAGTGGACCCTTCTGACACAGCACAATCCTCGGATACTATGGTCCACAATTCGGCCCAACGCACGCCCACAGACGCAAGCGCTTCCACTTCGACATTGGGCGGGGGTGGTTCCTTTACGTTGCGCTCTTCTGCGCCACCAACTCAACGTTATGTGTCTGTCTGATCGATGCTGATGCTTCTCCGTGCCGTTCACTCCTGTCATGTCCTGCCTGTCCTGCAGGCTCGGATGTCCACAAGTCGACAGCAATCAGAAATCACTCAAATCAGCCACCGCGCCTCCGGCACGTTGAGGCGTGCTAGAATGCTAGGTGCTTCACTGCAGTGCTTCTGCATCCTAATGAAGGATCCCCCCCCCTCATACCGTAGGCTGCGTGCACCCACCCACCCTCCCGATACCACGACGTTGCTAATAAGCCACCTAGCGACACAACCAAATGCAGTTGTGAACAACGCCAGTGTGAGCACCGTCTACTTGAGGCTCCTTATAGAGCCGCGAAACGAGCGAGGGGTGTGCCGACATCGGTGGGGGGGACGAGTGCGAACACCGCAACTCGGGAGCTCTCTACGGGACCACGAAGCGTGTGAGGGTGTGCCGACATGGGTGGAGGGACGCATGCGAACACCGCAACTGGGGCCTTCGGTGGATCTTCCTATAGGGCCGCGAAACGTGTGAAGTGTGTGCCGAAATATGTTGGGGGGCGCATGTGCATACTGCCGCTGAGGCCTTCGGTGAAGATCTTCATGGGCCACGAAACGTGTGAGGGGTGTGCCGAAATTGGCGGGGGCGACACACGCGAAAACCGCCACTGGGGCATTCGGTGGAGCTCCCTATGGGGCCACGAATCGTGTGATGGGTGTGCCAACATGGGAGGGGTGGACGCATGCCCACACCGCCACCAGGGCTTTCGGTGGAGCTCCCAATAAGGCCACGAAACGTGTAAGGGGTGTGCCAACATGGGAGAGGGGGCGCATGTGAGTACTGACACTGGGGCTGCCCGTGGAGCTCCCCATGGGGCCACGAAACGTGCGAGGGGCGTGCCGAAATAGGCGGGGGGGCACGCATGCGAACACCGCCACTGGGGCCTTCGGTGGAGCTCCCGATGAGGCCACGAAACGTGTGAGGGGCATGCCGAAATGGGCGGGGGGCCACGCATGCGAACACCGCCACTGGGACCTTCGGTGGAGCTCCCGACGCATGCGAACACCACTACTGGGGACTTCGGTGGAGCTCCCAAGGGGGCCACGAACCGTGTGAGGGGTGTGCACAAATTTGTGGGTGGGAACCGCATGCGAACACAGCCACTGGGGCCTTCAGTGGAGCTCCTTCTGGGGCCACGAAATGTCAGAGATGTGTACCATGGACATGCGGAAGGCAGATGCAAGGATGGGAGGCGGAAGGGGGGCAGCGGATGGGAAGGAGGCGCGGGACGCTGTTTTCTCAAAAAGATAACCCAACACCACAGGATGATTGGGATCAGTGAGTCCGCACCCCCGAGCTTCCAAAACCACCCATGCAGGCAACCAAGGATGCCAAGATGGTCCAAGAGACTTTGAAGACGGCCCAAGATGGCCTTAAAGCGGCCCAAGATGGCCCTAAGGCGAACACGGCCTCGAGAAGGCCAAAGATGCCCACAAGAGGGCCCAACTGGCGACAACAAAAAAACATCAAACAGAGCACGAAGAAGCCAAAATTATGGATTCCCCATTGAGTGTTTGAATGATGTTCGCATTCTCGCCTTTTCGGGCTTCCACCAACTCAAGACGGCCCAAGAAGCCTCCACGACGGCCCCAAGAATGCCCAAGCGGCCCCCGAGGGGGCCCCAAGAGGCATCCAAGACAGCCCCAAGACGGCCCAAGAGGGCCTCCCGCGGGACCCAAAACGACATTGGAAGGCCCTTCAACGGCCCAGGACGACGCCAAGACGGCGACATGGCTGCCCCCAGACATCCACCATAAGGCCACGAGGGCCCCAGCTCAGTCCAAGAGAGCCCCAAGACGGCGTAGAAGGACCCCAAGACAACCCAAGAGGGCCCCCAGGGACCCCAAAGACTGCCTCGCAGGAAGCAAGGACAGCCCCAAGACGGCCCAACCGAATTCCATGGAAACTCCTCAACTAGTGAAAACGGGAAGTGCCACATGTGAAGGCTTTCATCTTGCTCCTCGTCTTGCTGCTCCTCCTCGCCGCCGCCACCGCCGTCGTCGTCGTCGTCGTCATGCTGTTCCTCCTCGTCATCCCCACCACCACCATCATCATCATCATCATCATCATCATCATCATCATCATCATCATCATCATCATCATCATCGTCATCATCAACATCATCATCATCATCATCATCATCATCATCATCATCATCATCATCATCATCATCATCATCATCATCATCATCATCATTATCACGACCACCAACATCGTCGTCGTTGTCATCGTCGTCGTCATCGTCGTAGTCGTCGTCGTCATCGTCATCATCATCATCATCATCATCATCATCATCATCATCATCATCATCATCATCATCATCATCATCATCATCATCATCATCATCATCGTCAGCATCATCATCCTCATCCCCATCCTCATCCTCATCCTCATCATCATCATCATCGTCGTCGTCGTCAGCAGCAGCAGCATCATCCTCATCATCATCATCATCATCGTCATCATCGTTATAATCATTATCATGAGCAGCAGCATCATAATCAAAATCAGCATCATCATCATCATTATCAGCAGCAGCATCAGCATCAGCATCAGCATCAACATCAGCATCATCAGCATCAGCATCATCAGCATCATCAGCACCATTATCATCATCTCCATCGCCATCGTCATCGTCCTCGTCGCCGTCATCGTCATCGTCATCGTCATCATCCCAAGCATACCCATCATCCTCATCATCAGCAGCATCATCATCACCATCATCATCACCATCACCACCACCGCCACCTCCATCACCATCATATGCATCATCACCATCATCACCATCATCATCACCAACACCACCACCATCACACCCATCAACATCATCATCACCATCAGCATCATTATCATCATCCCCAACAATCATGTAATCCTCATAATCCTCGTAACGGCCTTTCCAAGTCTGGAGACATGAGGTGTCACGCGTGACAGTCTCCCATGCCCCCTCGAACAGTCGCCAACCAGAATGCTGGGCTGGCACGGTGGCGGGACTTGCCACAGGCAGCCGGTTAGACGTCAAGCCACGACCCCTCCTCCGGGTAGCCCAGTGGCGCAGCCGTGATGGCTGCCGCCACCGGCATCCCCTGGCCTGGCCGCCCAGCCCAGCCCCTCCTGGCGCGCCGCTCGCCTTCGCCTGTCGACGCTCAGCAGAAGGGGCGGGAGACTAGAGGGCTCAGGAGGAGGACTGCTACACGGCTCCACCTCGGAGTGTGGCGAAGTGGGGCCCACGTCTACTCAGGAGCTCTCACGAAAGCGATCCGCATCAAACTCAACCATCGCCCCTGGGCGAGGGAAAAGATGTGGAGGACCGTGTAACTTTCCTCCACCCCTCGTGGCTTCGCCCTATGGCGCCACCGGACCCCCTGGCAGCGAAGGAGGACTGGAAGGGGGAGGACCCCCTCGAAATCAGACCCGATCCCTCTGCCCCTACCCGTTCTGGTCGTCGAGCCGTGGCGGTCGCCTTCGCCTTCGCCTTTGCCTTCGCCTTGCCACGTGCTCTAGCTTGGTCACCATCTTCCACGGCCCGCACTGCGAGCGCGCCTAGCCGCCGCCGGGGCAGATGAGAGGAAGATCGGCGGCGAGCGACGGGGGGGAAGCGAAAAGGACAAGGCCTTCTCAGTGGGCGGCGGGACTTCTCAGAAACCCTCGCGCCCTCTGAGAAGCCTCCTCCGTCCTCGGGGAAGGCCGGGGGGCTTCCGAGCTTTCTGAGAATGCCTTCTCTTGTGGATGCCACGACAATGGACACTCTAACAATCTTATCATTGAAATAAAAATGTTTAAAATGTGTAAAGCATGTTCTAAAAACGTTTCAAACATGTGTTTACATATTTAGAACATGTTTGAAACATGTTTTAGACATCTGGAAATTATTTGGCAGCACGCTTCCTCTCCATTAATCGACTTCCACAAGCCTTCTCCTTTTCACTTCCCCCCCCTCGCTCGCCGCCGAGAAGAAGAGGACGGAGCCGAGCGGTCGGACTCGCGTCGTGGTGGTCATGAACGGCTCGGAGCACCCCATCCCCACATATGGGCCCTCGGCACGGTGCTGTCTGAACCAGAAGTTTGAACTTCAGCTGTCCTAAAGCAGAACGCCTACACATGCACTGGACGCGAACCAGCCAATGTCTGAAGGGTGCAGCGACATCTCGCCATCAGATCACCAAGACCTGCTTGTCTGCAAACCACCCAAAACGCCATTATACTTGACCTTGCCCGATGCCAGCTCACAAAAGATCCCACATCCATTGCAGACACGACACTCTCTGTGACTCCACAGTGGTAAGTAAAGCCAATCATAGCAGCGCAAAGGCTACTCCGTGGGCGACAGGGACAGCGTAGGCTTAGGTCGGGCATGTCCTACAGGCGGATTTTGGAAGAATAATGAAAAATAGTCAAAAAATGTTCAAAAATAGTCGAAAAAACGTCCCCATACTACTTTCGGCTACTTTCGAATATTCCTCCTGTAGAGGGACATGCCCGACTCAAAGATAGAAAGCGAGCTCGAAAAGAAGGTGCAAGAGAGGCTGCACAAATCGCAAGAGCGGCGTATCGCGGGCGGACGCGCGCAGGAAAACCACTGTGGGTAGGGCGCGGAAGACAGGACATCGACACAACGTACCCAGACCCCCTCGCGTTTTGAAAAAAAACACGACGGGAAGTTTTTTGGCTATTTCCGGCTTCTGGGGGCCCTTACCGGGCCTCGGGACCGTCCAAAAATAACTCAGGATGAAAAACCGGTCCCAGGGAAGGGGTCCAGACATCTGGGGGTCGAAAATGTGAAAAAATCACGACGTCGGGGGTCCGAATACGGTGGCCACTCACAGGGGCACAGTACAAGCCAGGCTATCCGGCCTGACGACCAAGAAGCACGGATGACAAAAAACTCTCGCGCGGACCACGGTGTGCATTTACCGGGCTCTTCAAAACCCCCAAAGGGCGATGTCGACGAACCTGCCGTTGTGTGAAGGAAATGTCCCCACAGAAGGAGCACGGTTACCCAGCCGTCGAAAGAAGTAGGAACGGATAAAGTACATTGGATTCGGGTCCGCCGAGAGAATCACAAAAACAGATTCTTGGGGTAGGAAGGCGCTTGAGGTAGATTGGGGTCTGGCTATCCAGCAGTGCCTACTCTCAATGACCGGCGCGTGCTGTCCGAAGAAACTTCAGGCCCGAAAGAGACGAGCGGGAGCAGCAGCAGCGGCACATCAAAGGAGAAGCAGCAGCAGCGGAGGGGAAAAGGGCCCCAGCGAAAGGCCTGGAGAGGAGTCGTGGGCGGCATCTCGGCCTGGCGCAGCTTGCGGCGGCGGCGCGGCCACCTCCTGCTCCAGGCCAGCCTCCTTAGACAAACGCGTTCCACTACTCGCAAAGTAGCCACTCGCAAATGGCTTGGATCCGCCGCGGCGGATTTACGATCAATTACACTGACATATAGGGAGACATGTTTTCGTTCGGACGTCTGCAAGTAGGCACTTTGAGAGTAGCGGAATGCGTTCGTTGACTCCACTGGGGAGTGATGCCGGTCGCACGGTGGGGAAGGAGCGACAAGAGAGGAGAGGAAAGGGAGGAAAACATCCCAGGGACATACCGCAAAAAGTGGCGACATCAACGGGCCCAGCCATGACGAATGATCGTGAGAAAGAGCAGGCGGTCCCCCTCCATGGAAAACCTAACACGAAGCTATGTCGTTGCACGCCCTCCCTGGCCAATTGAGAGCAGGCCCAGAAGGGAGCGAAAAGCACTCCCCCGGACCTCTCTGTGGTGCGCCAAAGGAAACAAAGTAGCGACAGCAGCGCGCCTGGCGGCACCCCGGAGGTCCCGACGGGAACACGCGGGGCCTCTCAGAGCCGAGCGGCGACGGTCGGCAAAGCGGCGAGAGTTGCACGCCGGGCGGGATCCGACATGGCCCCCGCTTCGCTGGGCCTCCCGGGAGCGCAAGAGCACGGCAACGGCTGCGCGCCTGGCAACACCTAGGGGGGACGAGATGCCGTCGGATCCGCCTGGGCCCCGACCCCGCTGGACCTCTCAAGGCCGAAGCAACCTGGCGACAACGGCACGACTGACAGCACCCAGCGAGGGCGAAGTCCCGCTGGATCCGCTGAGCCCTGACTCCGCTGGACCTCTGAAGGGCGCAGCACCTTGGCAGCAGTTCCACGTTTGGCAACAGCCACGAAGGAAACCACAACAAGAAAAAAGGAGAGGAACAAGAACATGACGACGACGACGAAATATATATATATATATATATATACACATTTATATACATATATATATATATATGTATACATACATACATACATACATACATACATACATACATACATACGTACATACATACATACATACATACATACATACATACATACATACATATATATATATATATACATACATACATGCATAAGAGCAAGCAAACATACATATATATATATACGCCTAAATACAACCATACATACATGCATACGTACATACATGCATGCATACATACATACTGGCGCGACAGCCAACCAAACGCAATTGTGTGTAGCGCAATGGGGAACATGGGCTCCGGTGGTGCTCACTATGGGGTTACGAAACGTGTGACGAATGCGCCAGTGGGCGGGGAAAGGCAATTTCGTGAAGCTCCCGTGATGGGGCCACGAATCGCGTGAGGGGTGTGCCGAACTGGACGGGGGGGCGCATGTGAACACTGCCGCTGAAGCCTTCGGCGGAGCACCCTATGGGGCAAAAAACCGCGTGAGGGGTGCGCCAACATGGGGGGGGAGGGGGGGGCGCATCTGAGCGCTGCCACTGGGGCCTTCGGTGGCGATCCTTATGGGGCCACGAATCGCGTGAAGGGTGTGCCGAAATGGGCGGGGGGGCCCGACATTGGCGGGGTTACGCATGGGGAGCACTGCCACGGGGACCTTCGGTGGAACCCCATTTACGGGGCCAGGGCCACAAAAAGTCTGACTGCTATGTCGAAACTGTTGAAGGGGACGCCTGTGAGCACTGCCACTGAAGCCTTGGGTGGAGCTTCGCATGGGCCTACGAATCGCGCGAGGGTTTATGTGGACGCGGGCTGACGACTAGCCTCAGCTCCCTGCAAAGCCGACGAACGGCGAGGGGCCCGAAGGCCGAAGAGGGCGAGGGACGGACCCAGGAACGGTGACAGAGCCGACCGCAGGGACCGACCAAAAAGACAAGGGACCAAAACCTCGAGGGCATCGGGCAGCAGGCAAGCAGTGCAAACTGCTGGCACCGTCTCTTGGGACGGATTTGAACCCTGGCCCTCAATGGCAGCCACGATGCCAGGACCACGCACAAGTGCAAGCACCCCCCACACTCCACCTTGATATTCGCCCCCCCCCCCCCCCCATACAACAAGGACAAGCTGCCACAAACACGAGCCAGACGCCACGGGTGCCTGGATCCGTCGCGGCTCGACGCTCGCGGCCGCGGCGGGCGCCACATGGGTTCCAAGGGCGCGGACAGTCAGCGCAGACCTCTCCTGGAAGGCACGGGAGAAGAAGCGAAGCTCTAGTATTCTTCTGTCTGTCTTGCGAGCCCGGGCGCAGCACGCGATATAACTCAGACAGGCTGCCGCAGACACGAGCCAGACGCCACGGGTGCCTGGTTCCGCCGCGGCTCGACGCTCGCGGTTGCGGCGGGGGCTGCAGGGGGCCCCAGGACACAAACAGTTACTCTACAGACCAGTCCAGGGCGGCACGGGAGAGATGCATCAAGCAAGCAAACCGAGAGACAGGGCGAAGTTTTTTCTTCTTCCGTCTCTCGGCGAGCCCGGGCGCTGCTGGGCGCGGAGGAAATGGAACAGCCATATATTGCGAGGTATGCCCAAGAGGCCAGCATCGCGCAGGCAGAGCACCGCCCTGACTACGTCAGGTCCTGGGGAGAAAAACCCGGGAACTACGCTTGCAGGACGCACGGGCCCCCACCGTCACCCCCACCATACCCATCAACAGTCCACGCCCGAGAAAAATCCCACATGACACACAAAAAAGAAATCGCGGTACCAATCAGGACAAAATAGATCACGACAAATGAAAACAGCATTCGGAAGGGGAAAGGCATAAACAATATCGGACTGGTCGATCCGCACGACCGAACCGATAACTCCACGAGGACGAGGGCGGCGACAATCTCGCACTTCTTAGAACACAGCAATGGCACCCTTGGCGCGCGGCTGACCCTTGCATCCATGCTTCAAATCCACTGCATCGGTTTGGCTATAGCGACAGCATCGGTCGCAAAAACTGTCGGCACCAAGTCTGCGAAGGGCATGGCCACCCGCCGCGGGATTGGCGCAGGTGGTTCGGAGCCGCTGCTGTTTGGACCCAGAGCTGGACCAGCAACTTGCACAACGGAACCCACCGACACTGGGAGCCCAGAAATGCTCACTCCGAGTCCCTTCCCGAGCACCCGAGAGAAGCAGAGAGGGGCAGAGGATACAGGAGGGTCAGAGTCAGCCTGCCGCACATCCTTGGGCAGCTTGAAGATCCAAGCCCCACTGCGCCCGATGCACTGTGCGACATGAGTGACAAGCACTGTCGCACGAGAGACCCTATCCAACATCACCTGATCATTATAATGGAGGGATGCACCTAGCTTAGCCAGGCGGTCGGCCTCGTGATTTCCCTCCTAATGCTCACCAGCGAGTGCACGATTACGGGCGCGTTTCTTAGTCAGACGAATTAGATGATATCCTTCCTGTGTCAGATGCACCACGGTGGCCCTCTCGCCACAGAGAGCACTGGACAGCCCATCCGTGGGTAGTGGCCTCGAAACCAAGCTGCCACTTGTCAATCAAAGATTGTGCATCCTTGACGTACTTGCACTCAAGGCTGGGGGAAGCATGCGAAATGGTAACAATAGAAAGCATACAAATCCGCACCTGGGGGATCCTGGACCATGCATGGGCACGCCCCATAAGCCGATGCATTCACCTAGGTCCAGAGAAGGAACACACGCCCCATCCCGCAAAGAGGGCAAGCGGCGATGGCCCACAAATACCTGAACCGTCGCCTTAGGCGGGCGAAGAAAAGAGGGGGTCTTCACGGGCCACTGGATCAGGAAGGGGAAGGGAAAAGAAGCGGGAGCAACGTGGGTCAGGAACCAAGAGAGAGGTCCAGGCAGGGTTGTTACTACATTGTTCCCTACACGGCTCAAGGGCTGGCGAGGCATCAAGCCAGCGCCGAAAATCTGAAAGACCATCACATTCACAGAGGGTGTGGAAGATCGGATTGACAAGGATCAGACCAGGTAGAAGGCACTGGAGCTTAGAATAAATACCCCCTGACAAGAAGGCACGCAGAGCACGATACTGGAAATCACCCCACCCTGGAGTTTTCCGCCTTAGCAACGCCCTGATAGGGTCCAAGAAGGAGGTCCAGCAAGGTGGCGATACAGCGGGCGTCTGTCAGACGCCTGCTGCCATGCGCAGGCGCGGGCTGCCCGACTCACTAAGGCCGCAATCTCACGAGGGGAAGTAGACGCAATTTCTAGATTGATTCCAATAGCGGCATGCAAGACTGCCGCGGATTCCAACGACCACCCAAGCCTGACCAAGGTAGCCACCAAAATAACACCGGGGCCCTGGGGGGGAGTCCACGGTGTCTGATGGGTGACTGCGTTGATGGCCTCCTGCAGGACGCGACCAATACTTCCCCGAGGTAGAAAGGGCACCCACCTAGAAACAGCCCAGAGACGAACCTACTTCGGCGCGCGCATGTAAGGCTGGGCCCGCCACTCGTAGCAAGGCGAAAACCATGGCGACGGATCGGCGCCCACCTGTTCAGAGACCGACGTGGCATGCGCCGATCGAAAGAGGCCGCCGGACGAAGGCTCGTATTGATGATGCCCTGTACCTGAGCCCCTGCACCCCGTAATCTAAGAGAGGCGAGCCTTCTGCGCTGCCTTCTGAATCCTAGTCTTTAGAACAAGACGAGGACGACGGCCACGACGAAACTGAAAAACGCTACCTAAGTTCCTGCAGGAGCGACGCACGGCACCCCCAAGCCGAGGAGTCTCAGTTGCGATTCTCCTGGCCAGGGACGCATCCGACGCAAGGAGCGCCATCTTGGGCCCGGAGAAGGGGGGATGGGCAGAGTATGCCAACTTACTCGTGAGGAGATGCGAGGCGTTTGGACCCGCACGCATTACCTCAGCTTCAGAGCCACTCCCAAGACACGCACGTCATCAGCAACCAATCCCAGGTGCAAATCTGGATACACACTAAGTAAGGAGTCCAGCTCTGGCATAAACATGATACGCATGAACAAATCGGCATTGGGACGACCAGCAACGATGGTGATAGCGGCAGACATCCATAATCCGACGATCA